ACGGTCATCCTTCACGATCCCCGGACCCAACGATCCCTCCTAGCGTCTGTGTAAATTCAAGAACCAAACAGACTTCATATTGGCTCGGTGGTGGACGGCCCACCCTCACACGACTTGTATTGGGTTTTATTTCGAGATGATTCTGTGAGAGACGCCCGTTCGATTCGGGTCCGAGGTATAATGCAGCTCAGACCGTGTTTGTTTCCTCAAAAAAGTCATTGTTCAACCAGTGCTGATTGTTCGCTTCCAGGCCGTCAAGCAGCCTCAAGTGACCTTTGAACGCATGCGCATCCCCTTTTGTCCGTACTTGCTCTGTTATCCGGCCAAAGCTTTGGTCTGACACTTCTGCTTTTTCTCATGATAGTTCCAAAGTTTGAAGGCTGGCACTGGTGGCGTGAACAAAATATGGGGGTCGACCGGTGTGCGAGTCATCTTGTTCTTCGGCTAAGGGAGTGATCTGATAGTATGTCTCGAAATTCAGGAACCGGATTATAATATACCACACACCGGCTTGGTGGTGGACGGCCCACATCCACACGGCTTGTATGTCTTTCTCAATCCGACTCTGTGAAAGAAACCCGTTCGATCCGGGTCCGAGCCATGCATTCTTCATTTCTTGTATTTTTCTGCTGATGGTTGAACCAAGGTTTGGCTCATTCGCAAATAATCAAGGTATGATTCATGCCCAAGGGGCGTGGCTATGACGAGGTGGGTGTAATTTCCTCGCGTCCCTTGTTGACAACTGTCAGCTTGGCAGTGGGTATTCCCCACTCGTATGCTATGTGGTATGCGCATGTAGGAATTCTGCGACAGTAGCGCGTTCGATTCGCGCTCGAGCTATCCCCCTGAATAAAGCCTTCCCTTTATCTTTCTCAATGTCTGAAAAGCCTCACATTGGCGACAGAAGGTGGATATCTATGATCCCATTGCGGATCCTGTCTCTTGTGGCCGACTTTTCCTGCTTTCGACTCACCACAGCGGCCAATTAAAACATCTCTACCGTATTCAAGAACAAAACAAAGTGCATAACGGCTCGGTGGTGGATGGTTCACGCTTCTTGATGTCCACAACGGAGGGCAGGCGCGGCAGCCGCTCGTTCGAATCGAGCCCGTGCCCTGAGCGCCATATGTTGGATGTTTTTTTTTTCTTTGCTTCTGTCGTTACTTGAAGAGGACATTCGACTCCTACACTCCTCCCTTGAGGAGAATCATCAAGCAATCAGCTTTGATATAATTTGTGGATCCTCCTCGTACAGTACCAGTTGCAAATTTCAACGGTGCCGCACGAGCATAACGATCTGTGTCCTTACCAGTTTAGCAATTTCCGTAGCGATCGATTCCAGTTCATGGTCAAGACTCAGGATATATATATTCCTTTGGTGCAGTTGCTTTGCGTTTGAAGGAGGGCTTGACTGGGTCCGAAATGAATATCCTCACTTATTTTATGGCTGAACAGTGAGCAGGCTAACCCTCCCAACTCGCTGATACATTCAGTATCGGCTCGGCGGGGAGCACTTGCATATGGTCAAGTCTTCAGGGCATTTAGACTGACATCTCGTGCGGCCCGTTCATTTCGGGCTCGAGCCTTGTCCGATCGAGAGCCAACTTTTTTTCTCTAGTTGAACCAAGCTGCGGCGCTCCTCGTTGAATAGATTGAAGAACGGAACCAGGTAATCATAAGCTTGATGGGTGGCTCACGTTTGCGGAGTGTTGCCGTTCCAGTCTGCGGGAAGCGAGCCTGTTCGACTCGGGTCCGAGCCATAATAAATGAGTGCGATACTTTTTGTCTTTTTCTTTCTTTTTTGGAAAGAATTCAACGCGTGTTCCTTGAGTCCCACTTCCTCGCGAATTTAACAACGAAAAGCGGGATACAACAGATTGTCGATACATTTTCCGCTTTTTTCAACAGTTCAATCAACCAGAACTTGCCTCGGTGGTTGAAAATAGTGATGTTCTTGGCTTGGCTTGAAGCCAACAAGCCAAGAAGCCAAAGCCGTGGCTTGATCAAGCCAAGCCAAGCCAAATTTTTGGCTTGAGGTTGGCTTTGGCTTTGGCTTTGGCTTGAGATTTGCAAGCCAAAGCCAAGCCAGCAAGCCGTGGCTTGAGCCGGTATAGAAAAACAAATAAAAGCACTGCTCCAGGGCTGAGATTTAACAGTCAGTCGGGTACGTTTTGCATTCTACATCACCGAAATTGAAGTAGCAGATCTAAACCTAACTTTGAACCATTTGAACCATGCGCCGGACTCGGATCAACATGTTCCCAGGGTTTGAGAAAATTCGGAGTGCATCGATCTCAGTTTTATCTGCACTCCTGGGGACTCAATGTTGAAACGTTGGTTGTTTTCTGTGCATAGCAATGATATGAGGTGATTTGGCCGCATTTTTGAGATGGTTGTTGGAGATATAAAATGTTTGGTTGAAGCCACGGCTCAAGCCAAAGCCAAGCCAAGCCAAGCCCCCATCCACGGCTTTGGCTTTGGCTTGAAGAATCTGAAGCCAAAGCCAGATGAAGCCAAGCCAAAGCCAGGGCTTGCAAGCCAAGCCAAGCCAAAACATCACTAGTTGAAAAGTTGAAATGACGCGTCCCTTTAGGACTTAGGTAAGTCAAGGAGGAAGCTCACACCCCCTACTCACCCGCTCGTTAGTGAATACTTTGCTTTCACCTCTTGTCTGACACGGATTCGTCAATCCGTTCTGTGGCGCTCGTTCGTTTCGGGCTAGGGCTATGGTCGCGTGGTTTCATAGTTTTTTTTTGCCACAAAATCAAAGAGCTGCGTCCCTTCAGGCCTCCACTACTGACTGCGCTGGCCAAGCTTCCCCCGGTGTACACCGAGCGCGATCCAAGATTTTGGCGATCCGAAGGAAGAGCAGTGGCGGTGTCGCGTTCTTTGTCATAATTTGTCGCGATTGCCGAGACCGGCATCCCTTCTCTTCCCAAACCCTCACATGCCTCACATCGCTCGGCTTCGTGTCTGGCAAGAACAGCGCTGAAGCTTTCTAAACTTCATTCTGGGGTATTCAATGTGCCCCCGCTTGTAAGCTTCCAGCAAGAATCTGGGCCGAATCTGTGCCAGGCAGAGTCCGAGTCTCAGGCGACGAGTCTCAGTCTTGTCCAGACGCGCAACTGGCTGCAGGGAGCGCAGCGAGAGCAGGAGAAGCCGCTGAAGATTAGGAGACCACGTAACAACGCGTCTGCTGCGCGAGCTCTCCCTCTTGAGTCTTACACTATCCCTTTAAAATTGCCAGGCGGAATCTGCCGCTTCCTTCAATCCCCGCCACTTTCCTGCATTTTCCGTGGCCCTGGCTCTTTATCTTCCTCCGAATCGTCTGAATCGATCCACAATCTCCGCGGTCTCAGCTGTAGCGCCGTATCTGTAGTGGAGGAAGCGGCGGCTCCCCGCCGTCCGCGATGGCGTTCCCGGCGCGATGGCTTTCCCTCTGCTCCCGCATCTCTCCACGACGATGCGGTACAAGCAGCGAAGCAGCGAGATGCTCCCGCCGCCACATCGCGTCAGCACCATCTCAAAGGGACCTCGACAATACAATCGCAAGTGCCGAAGCAGATTTACACCTTGGATTCGTTGACGTCGGACATGGCTATCACTTAGTTGGTATGTCCATGCTCCTCACTCAGTTCACGTTGTACCCAATGTCTTTGTTTCTTTCATCTTCCGCACTCTTCACTGCAAGCTCCTCCTATGCAAGTACGTGAGGAGATTTCTCTGGCATGCTGCAAGACCCAAGTCCTACCGCCATTTCCGGTCCTCAAACCCATGGACAAAGCATGGACCGTACAGGCTCGGTGGTGGATGGTCCACCCTCGTACAGCGTTTGTCTTTACTTTCTCAACAACTTACAGGGGCAACAACTTGATACGACTAAGGTGTGTCCATAGATCTCCGAACCGATCCGGGTCATATCTGCTGTTGGCGATTTCTTCCTGAGTTGCATCTCTAGCCAGCGGATAACTATCTAGACCATGTTCAAGAACAAAACAAAGACAGTATCGGCTCGGTGGTAGGTCACACTCGTATGCTATCCGTCCGAAGCGAAGGACGGGGAAAGGTGTATGACGCAGGTTCAACAGATTCTGCGAAAGCTGCGCGTTCGATTCGCGCCTGAGCCATGCAGTATTGGGGCCGGATTTTTCTCTATTTTCTTTGTGCGCCCGCCATATTACGATTCAAACCGTCAGAGCATCGGAGGTGGGGATAATTGCCTTTCCCGGATCAAATCTCTTGTTGACGAGTTCCTTTTGTTTCAACTTACGAAAGGAGCGGGAAAAACTCAACACCCAATCTAAGAGGATATCGGCTCGGTAACACTCGTATGCTATGCGTATGTGAAACACATATAGGTTCTGCGAGGATCGCGCGTTCGATCCGCGCCCGAGCCGTGCGCAGTGCCGCCGTTTTTTTCCATGTGAGCCATCCTCCGTTATGAACCGTCGATTTGGCAGAGCAGCTCAGAGGTGGGCTTCTATAATCACCCCCCGGTCGAACTTCTCCACTGCATGCAACACCGGAACAATATTATCTGGAGCCAGAGCAGCTCGGACGTGGGTGTGTAAGTATGATTGTATCCCCAGGGCATATCTCTTGCTGACGAGCTTGCGTTTCAATTGCGTTTCAGCTCGAACCAGTTTTCGAGCTTCTCCACTACATTCAAAGGCAAAGCAAATGACACATAATGACACATGGGTTCGGTGGTGGACGGTCCACCCTCGTGCAGCTTTCATGTTTGGCACGAGACTCTGCGAGCGTTGCCCGTTCGATTCGGGCCCGACCCATAGGATGCAATTCGAGATGCTCTTCTTTTTGAGACCTCTCGCGATATCGCCTCGGTCAAAATGGGGTAAAAGCTCGATACGCCCACGATATGGTCATAGATCTGTTCGAACCAATTCCGGCTCATACAGTACCTCAGGAGTTCTTTTCGGTCAACTCAACCCAGAAGCAAACGTCTCGAACATATCCAAGGACGAAACAACGGGCGTATCGGCTCGGTGGTGGGTGGCCCACGCTCGTATTATAATGCTATGCACAGCACATGTCGTACACTTTGCGAGAACCGCGCGTTCGATTCGCGCCTGAGCCATAGGGTCGACGAAGTTTATTTTTTCCTCTGTGAGTTCGTGCCCTTTGATTCCATCTTGAATCGCATCCCTTGTTGAGTTTTCAACCCACGAACGTCTTTACCATGTTGAAGGACATATCGGCTCGGTGGTGAGTGGTTCACACTCGCATGTCATGCGTATGGTATGCGTATAGATTCAGCGAGAGCCGCGCGTTCGATTTGCGCCCGAGCCATATCGCCTTGAAGGTACGCATTTCTTTTCTCCCTTTTTTGTTTGCAAGCCGTAAATCCGGCGACAGAGCAGTTCGGAGGTGGGTATGTATGATGATGTCCTCTGTACAGAACTCTTGGTGACTGACGAGTTTCGTTGGCTCTCACCTCTATTACTAGTAGTACCCCACCAACCGTCAAACTTCTCCACTAAATTCGAAGAGGAAACTCCCGACATATCGGCTCGGTGGTGGGTGGTCCACACTCGCATGCTATTCGTTGTGCGAGATAAGTAGATTCTGCGAGAGCCGCCCGTTCGATTCGGGCCCGAGCCATGCCCAAGGACAATTAAGCATTTTCCTCCCTTTTTTTGTCCCAGCGTTCGCTTCACCCCGCCAGCTTTTGCTTGTTCTGTTGCCTCTACTCTCTACACCTGAATCGTATGATCTTACAGCGCATGCTGCAAGGGAGGCCAGTTCCATTCGTCTGGAGCCATCGGAACGCAGATATTATCTTGAATTAGGTCAAGAACGATGACTTCTCAGAGCTAATCCGTCCCTGAGGCTTGTGCGCGAGTTTAAGAAGCCAATCCACGGCGCATAAGCTCGGTGGTGGACGTTCCACACACGCACACAACCTGGCGGAGTTCGGCCGAGACGGTTCAAATTCTGTGAGAGGAGCCCGTTCGACTCGGGCCCGGGCCTTAAAAATATCTCCAAGATAGACCTCTTTTTGCGGGGTTAGATGTGGCTCCACTGGCTTAAAAAATGGCACTTGACGGATAGCCGTGGCTAGGCTGAACCAGCGATGCGACGCTTCTCAGGTTTCAACCTCCTCGTTGTTCAAGGCGATTTTGCTGCCACGACGCTAGCGCTCGGGCTCGAGGAGAATGCGTTGAGCCTTTCTTTTGCTTCACCGTACAGGATCACGCATTGGCTTTCAAGTGGACTGATAGCGTAAATTACGAAGCCGAAATCGGGGGTTGTGGAAAGCACTGTGGCAGTGACCCATTCTTTGGTACTCTTTGTAGCGATTGCCGAAACGGCATCCCTTTCCTTTCCAAGCGCTCACATCGCTCGTCCTCGTTTCTGTATACTCTGGCAACACAGCACCGAAACTTTATCGTGGGCTATCTATGCACTCGCTTTACACCACTAGCAAGAACCTGGGTCGAATATGTGCGCGGGAGCGCCGGTCTTCGAGCTGCAAGGTCGTTGTCCGCGAGTGGCACAGGATACATCAGGAAAAACTCCCCGGGAAATAGCTTGCCGGCTAGATACAGAGACAAAAATAGCTGTCTGTAGCTCTGGTAGCTTTGGCGGTCACTCCATAGCTTTATGTTGCTGCGATAGCACTTGGTCATAGCTACAAAGCCCAGCATAGCTTGTATGCTCAGCTATCATGTGCTACAAGTCTTTGGCGAGCAGCTATGAAGTGCTTTATATTTATCGGTTGAAACAATGTACTGCTACAACTCTTACAAAGTTGAACCATGATGCTACGAAAATGCAATAGTTTGTTGGGATTAAATAGTTAACCTGGGGTAATGGTTGAGGCTTCCCCTGCTTACCCAGTCTCTCTTCGGCGGTTCAATACCACCGTTGAACACGATTTTGCTTCGATTGAAAACATGATCGCACGTGCTAAGGGAGCGCGGTGGAGACCATGTAGAATGGCTTACTTAGTTGTACTTTTTTTTTTTGTGGAAATAAGGGCTTCGAGTCAACCTTGTCAACTGAAAGTCTGAAACTGCCCTGCTGCCAGGGCATGATGGGACTTGCACGACCTACCCATGAGTTTCTGGTGGCCGGGAGGTTCAGGACAATCATTTCTTGAAGTCAAGAGCTCACGGCAAGCGGCAATCGACTCATTTGGAAGGGAGAGGAGCTGGCGAGTCGCGAAATGTTGAAAGTCATTCAAACTCCGCCGGATCACATCAGCAATTTGACATTTTGATTGCCGTGTTCCGGCGTTTTCACGCGTTTTCGCGTTGTTGATCAACCATTGTCGGCGACGGTGAGCCCGGCCTTGAAGTTCAAAATTTTCTGGGGTATGGTGAATGGGATGCTGGGGTCGGGGAATGGCCGCGATGAAAATAATTTCCCATTCTGAGGAACGGTCGAGTGCCCGCAGCATTCGGATTTGGTCGGCGTTGTGGGTTTTGGCTCCCACGTTCCGCTGTTGTCGCCTTGTAGCGTTTTTAGGCGACATTGTGACGTTTTTGCGGGCCGTTGTGGCGTTGTAGAACACCTACATAACAACGCGACAATCAAAATGTCAAAAGTCTGATGCATGATCCGACACGTCAAACCGAATGGCGACGCCATCAAATGGTTGGTTGCCCTCTTGTCTCTTCGCCCCATCTTCTCGGAGTTCTCCCTCTTCCCGCCCGCCGTCTCGCAGCTCGCTCGCTGTTCCCTTCTCGAAACCGAAGTGCTCCGAGACTCCTCAGGTCGCACTCTATCTCCTTCAAGAGCCTCAAGCCCTCAAGGTGTCTTTGTCTGCTTTGGGTGCACGCGACGACGTCAAGAGTCAAGACTCCTCAAGAGTACATCCCACGAGACCAAGAGGGCGACGCGCTCAAGTATCCTGCCCTCAAGAGCCCGTCTATCCAAGTACAAGCCCGTCTCACCCTTTCCTGCTGCCTCCTCATCGCTGTGTCACACCGCTAATGCGACAACCCCGCCTCCCCTTCCCTCCCCCCCTCGGTCTCCAAGCACCTTTGGAGAGTCTGACAGAAGTCCCTGACCCCCGTCCGCGGTGCGTCCTTATCCCATCGTCTGAGTGTCGCAACTGATGGAGACAAGATAGTCGCCGCTGTTGACGCTACGCCGTTGGCATACGCTCCTGGTGTCCGTGCCGAGGTATGTGTCCGTCTTTCAAGACCACAATAAGAACATGAAAGAAAATGGCTGCCCGCGCAACATTTTGACCCGTGCGCACCACGATGGACGGTACGTCTCACCCCGATATGTTTACCCGTCCACTTATTTGTGTTTTTTTAGCTTCAACTCCGGTGCTCAGCCCACTGCACCTGCGGCCTCCACCTCCGCTGTCTGCCTGGCCGCTCTGGATCGTGTGGTTCGGGATGAAGACTCGGAGACCGAGGGCGAGGACGGTGAACCCTCTGATTAGCTGGCTTGTTTGTATTTTATTCATTGTATATATTGTCTGGAATTCAAATTATCCTCTTGCCCTTAAGTACTGCCAACTGAAAGTACATGGAGCTCTAAAGCACTATGGAGCCTACAACGCTACGGCGCTACGGCGCTATTTTAGCCACAAGGCTGACTACTGCGTACTCTGTAGCACCCTATAGCTTGCACCCACAGTTATTTGTTGATATATAACAGGGGGTAAGCTACTGTGCTATCCAAGCTATTGTGGCTATATTGCGCTAGGTACTCCACCACATTTTTGCTGATGTAGCGAGGGTTGGGCGAGCGGAGGAGCGTCTGGAGACGGAGGTGTGTCCCTTGATGCGCATTCCGAGTGAGTGCTGGCTCGGTTTGTCTTCCATTATTCTCTGAAATCGCAAGGCAGAGTCTGTCGCTCACTTTAATCCCCATACCACCCTTCTCAGCCGGCGGATGGAGTACTTTCGCGCGGCTGGCTCTGTACCCCCCTCCGCGCCTTGTGGGACTCCACACACCGGCTTGTCCACTCTTCTATCTTGTCCATCGCACTTCACTCCCACCCACAATATCAATGTCCGTGGCTTCCGCTCTAGTGCCGTATCCGCAGTGGAGGAAGCGGCGCCGGCCCCTCGCCGACCAAGAGGGCGCCCACGGCGCGATGCGTTGCCCTCTGCTCCCGATGATGCGCTAACCGGAGCGGAGCACGACGATGCCCCTCGCCGACCACGAGGGCGCCCGCGGCGCGATGCCTTAGCCGCTGCTGTCCCCGATTCCCCGGACGATGCGTTGCAAAGAGAGAAGCACACCGATGCCCCTCGCCGACCAAGAGGGCGCCCGCGGCGCGACGGTGCTCCCCCTCCCCCTCCCCCTCCCCCTAGTTCTCCCAGCAAACCTGGCGCCGAGTCAGTCCCTCCCGCGGTCCCAGCCCCGCAATCCGCACTCGCTGACCCTATCGGCTTGTGGGACGTTGACGTTGACGAAAATCATTCGGATTCGGAGTCAGACTGGGATCCTGGGTGTGAATTCTACATTGCCTCGGATTCTGAGTCGGACGCGGATGATGAGTGGGAATCCGACGTCGACTCGCAGTCGGATTCTGAGCACGAATCCGACTCGCGTTCGCATTCGGATTCAGAGTCAGAGTCGGAATCAGACGACGACCCTGACTCTGACTATGCCCCGGACCGCAGACCTCGGTGGGAGGAGGCGTTGGTGGGAGATATTATTAATGCGGGGAGGGGTTAACGGGCGTTCGAATAGGGTTGTTCTGAGCGTTCAACTGTTTGCTTGCGACTATGGGGGTGTGCTGATATGTAGGATATTAGGAAATAAACATCAACGTCGGCTTATCGTCTCGCGGTGGATCGTGGATCGATTGTTCTGTCCAGAGGATCGAAAATACAACCGGAAGCGCTGACGGGGAAACACCTTCACATCAGCAATATGACAATCTGCTCGCGTTCTTTTGATCTTGTGATGTCGCGTGAATCTCGTCTCCGCCTAATTTTGATTCTTGTTTCTCTCATTCCTCGACCTAGTGAGCCTCAAGGACACTCTTTATATTCCCAAACAACTTTCCAGTGCGGTGTTTATGGCTCTGCACGGTGCCCTGGGCTTGCATGCCTCGTGGGAAGGAAATAAATGTTGCTCGCGTGGACATCACGGACATAGCTCGTGATCGCGCGGTCTCGCGGTCTTTTTTGTCTCGTTTGCTCGCGTACGAGCGCGTACGAGAGCCCACGCGAGCTCACGCGCAAGTTGTGTAAATCCCGATGCAAGGCCATGCAGTACCCGTTGGATTCCCGCTGTCTCGTAGATATACCATGCGCAAGTGACTTTGATCTCACCGCGTATTTTATTATTTATACGATCGCGATCCTCTTATG